CATTGTCCCATGATTGAAGTCTCTGTAATATGTCAAAGGTCTGTAAAGTTATCAAAGCTCTACCTCGGTTAACTATTTTAAACATCTGAAAGTGCCGTATACGAGCAGATACTTCCGTGTGGCCACCGGAAAATATTCACTCGGTATACAGGCAGGTAATCTTGTGATATAAGGAAGTTTTCATCTCCGGTTCGCAGGACGAACCAGGATGCATGACAAACTAATTTGGAATCACATGTAAATTGACCCTGATAATTAATCTGACTTAACTGACCTATATATCAATAATTACTACGATCAATCGTGTTAATTATTCCTATATGGTAATGTTTAGTCCATTCCCTATTTGGGATAATTTAATTTATGTATGCGATTACATATTCATTATCTAATGAATAATCTTCCCTATTTGAGTTAAATAATTTCCCCGAACAAAGTCATTGTTGCTACACTGCTGATGTGTGGGGGTCACCCTGCTGATGTGTGGGTCACCCTGCTGATGTGCGTGGGTCACCCTGCTGATGTGCGTGGGTCACCCTGCTGATGTGTGGGTCACCCTGCTGATGTGCGTGGGTCACCCTGCTGATGTGCGTGGGTCACCCTGCTGATGGGCGTGGGTCACCCTGCTGATGTGCGTGGGTCACCCTGCTGATGTGCGTGGGTCACCCTGCTGATGTGTGGGTCACCCTGCTGATGTGTGGGGGTCACCCTGCTGATGTGTGGGGGTCACCCTGCTGATGTGCGTGGGTCACCCTGGTGATGTGCGTGGGTCACCCTGCTGATGTGCGTGGGTCACCCTGCTGATGTGCGTGGGTCACCCTGCTGATGTGTGGGTCACCCTGCTGATGTGTGGGTCACCCTGCTGATGGGCGTGGGTCACCCTGCTGATGTGCGTGGGTCACCCTGCTGATGTGTGGGTCACCCTGCTGATGAGTGGGGGTCACCCTGCTGATGTGTGGGGGTCACCCTGCTGATGTGTGGGGGTCACCCTGCTGATGTGCGTGGGTCACCCTGCTGATGTGTGGGTCACCCTGCTGATGTGGGGGTCACCCTGCTGATGTGTGGGGGTCACCCTGCTGATGTGTGGGGGTCACCCTGCTGATGTGTGTGGGTCACCCTGCTGATGTGTGTGGGTCACCCTGCTGATGTGTGTGGGTCACCCTGCTGATGTGCGTTGGTCACCCTGCTGATGTGCGGGGGTCACCCTGCTGATGTGTGGGGGTCACCCTGCTGATGTGTGGGGGTCACCCTGCTGATGTGTGGGGGTCACCCTGCTGATGTGTGGGGGTCACCCTGCTGATGTGCGTTGGTCACCCTGCTGATGTGCGTGGGTCACCCTGCTGATGTGTGTGGGTCACCCTGCTGATGTGTGGGTCACCCTGCTGATGTGTGTGGGTCACCCTGCTGATGTGTGGGGGTCACCCTGCTGATGTGTGGGTCACCCTGCTGATGTGTGTGGGTCACCCTGCTGATGTGTGTGGGTCACCCTGCTGATGTGTGGGGGTCACCCTGCTGATGTGTGGGTCACCCTGCTGATGTGTGTGGGTCACCCTGCTGATGTCATCTTCATTTATATAGCGCTTTTAACAATGAATTGTTTCAAAGCAGCTTTACAGAGATAAACATATAATTTAAGGTAACAGATTGTTTTGGCGTTATAGCGGTTCTTGAATAATGTTACTTCCAGCTAAAGTTAACTTTGATTGATTCACCTCCGTCGAAATGATCAGACTTTAAACGCGAACCTGTGATTAACGCTGACGGCGTTCACATGCTCATTCAGAATTCTATAGTTATGTGCTTTTTAAAATATGTGCGCAGGTTTGTAATTCATACAACCCAGCCTAAACAAACTACTTTTCTTGCCTATAAATTTTGATACAGAATTTTGTTTTATTTTATCACTTCGGGGTACGCGAGCCGGAATTCACAGCGCTTTATCTGTAGAGTGGGAAAGGGATCCTCCATAGGGAGAGGATAGTGGATACTTCAGCACTGCATTGTCATCGGGTCCAGGCGAATCTCCTTCGTCAGATCTGGACACGGCCTGGATCCGGCAGGCTGCAGGAAAACCTCGGGATAAACAAAGACACTAATATTAGCGTAGATGCCATTCTTCTTATGATGTAGCGAGTACATCAAGATTTAAGGGAAGTGTTCCCAGTTCCGGCTGACCTAATCTATGCAGCCTAACATTGAATTTATAGAAGTCTATAATGTATTATGTGTATGCTAGGTCAAAGAGATGTGTTTTTAGTCTAGCTTTGAACTGACAGAGTGTGTCTGCTTCCCGGACAATGGTAGGAAGACTGTTCCAAAGTTTTGGTGCTAAATAGGAAAAGGATCTCCCGCCAGCAGTCGATTTAGATATTCTAGGTATTATCAACTGGCCGGAATTTTGAGATCGCAATAGACGTGAAGGACTATAATGCGTTAAGAGCTCGCTCAAGTACTGGGGAGCTAAGCCATTTAGTGCTTTGTAGGTAATCAACAATATTTTAAAATTTATACGATGTTTAATAGGGAGCCAATGCAGTGTTGACAGAACCGGGCTAATATGGTCATATTTCCTGGTTCTGGTAAGAACTCGAGCTGCGGCGTTTTGAACTAGCTGTAGTTTGTTTATTAAGCGTGCAGGGCAACCACCCAGTAGAGCATTACAGTAATCTAGCCTTGAGGTCATGAACGCATGGACTAATTGTTCCGCATTTCCCAATGAGAGCATATGGCGTAATTTAGATATATTTTTAAGATGGAAAAATGCAGTTTTACAGATACTAGACACGTGGCTTTCAAAAGAAAGGTTGGTATCAAATAGCACACCCAGGTTCCTAACCGACGACGAAGACTTGACAGAGCAGCCATTAAGTGTTAGACAGTATTCTGGGTTATTACGTGTGGAAGTTTTTTGTCCAATAATTAGAATCTCTGTCTTTTCAGAATTTAGTAGTAGGAAATTACTAGTCATCCAATTTTTTATATCAGCTATGCATTCCGTTAATTTTGTGAATTGGTAAGTTTCGTTGGGTTTTGAAGAAATATACAGCTGAGTATCATCGGCATAACAGTGAAAGCTAACTCCATGTTTCCTAATGATATCTCCTAATGGTAGCATGTACAGAGTGAACAGCAGCGGTCCTAGTACTGAGCCTTGTGGTACGCCATACTGAACTTGTGATCGATAAGACATCTCTTCATTTACTGCTACAAACTGATAACGGTCAGTTAAGTATGATTTAAACCATGCTAATGCAATTCCACTAATGCCAACATAGTTTTCTAGTCTATTTAAAAGAATATTGTGGTCAATGGTGTCAAATGCAGCACTAAGATCGAGTAACACTAATAGAGAGATACAACCACGATCAGATGATAAGAGCAAATCATTTGTGACTCTAATGAGAGCGGTCTCAGTGCTATGGTACGGTCTAAATCCGGACTGAAAATCCTCGCAGATATCATTTCTTTCTAGAAAGGAACATAGTTGTGAAGATACTGCTTTTTCTAATATCTTTGACAGAAAAGGCAGATTCGAGATCGGCCTGTAATTGACTAATTCTGTAGGATCAAGTTGTGGTTTTTTAACAAGCTGTTTTATCATAGCCAGTTTAAAGGTTTTTGGTACGTATCCTAGAGACAAAGATGAATTAATGATATTAAGAAGAGGATATATGACCTCTGGAAACATCTCTTTCAGTAGCTTAGTCGGTATAGGATCTAACATACAAGTTGTCGATTTAGATGAATTAACGAGTTTGCAGAATTCTTCCTCTCCTATAGCAACAAATAAATCAAATTTTTTCTCATGGAGACTACAATGCACTTCCTGATGCGATACTGTGGTAGACGGTTGCATAGTTATAATTTTGTCCCTGATATTATCAATCTTATAAGTGAAGAAGTTCATAAAGTCATCACTGCCGTGTTGCTTTGACACTTCTGAGCTTGAAGCTTTCTTTTTCGTTAGTTTAGCCACTGTTTCAAATAAATACCTAGGATTATGTTTATTTTCTTCTAATAGGTTTGAAAAATAAGCAGATCTAGCAGCTTTTAAAGCCCCTCTGTAAGCAATTGAGCTCTCTTTCCACGAAATCCGAAATACCTCTAGTTTAGTTTTCTTCCAGTTGCGCTCCATTTTTCTGGCTGCTCTCTTTAGGGCCTGAGTGTGTGTGTGTGTGTGTGTGTGTGTGTGTGTGTGTGTGTGTGTGTGTGTGAGTGTGTGTTTGTTTTTGTGATATATGAGGACACAAATGTGTATAATGACATGCATATTACACTGGTATTACAACTTACACGTGATATATGAGGACATTGCATGAGTCCTCATATTTCAAATAGCTTAAAAAACATAAAAAACAATGTTTTTTTTTAAATGTAAAAATGCAGCATGTCGCCTGTGATGGGTAGGTTTAGGGATAGGGGCAGTGTAGGGGGATAGAATATACAGTTTGTCCAGTATAAAAGTCATTACGCCTATGGAATGTCCTCATATATCACAAAAACAAAGCTGTGTGTGTGTGTGTGAGTGTGCTTGCTGTACCACGGCGTTGGACTATTTTCTTTAATCTTCTTTAAGCGCAACGGAGCAACTGCGTCTAAAGTGCTGGAAAAGAGAGAGTTAAACGTTTCTGTTGCAATATCGAGTTCTTCTAAGCTATCTGGGATGCTGAGATGATGAAACTGATTAGGAAGATTATTGATAAAGCAATCTTTAGTGGCAGAAGTGATAGGTCTAACGTATTTATAACACGGAGTCGGCTTTGCAGCCTTGGCTAAATGTAATTTACATGAGACTAGATAATGATCTGAGATGTCATCGCTCTGCTGCAGAATTTCAACAGCATCAACATCTATTCCATGTGATAATATTAGATCTAGAGTATGATTACGACAATGAGTAGGTCCCGACACGTGTTGTCTAACTCCAATTGAGTTTACAATGTCTTTAAATGGCAATCCCAAAGCATCTTTTTCATTATCTACTTGTATATTAAAATCACCAAGTCAAGTCAAGTCAAGTCACATTTATTTATATAGCGCTTTTCACAATACAGATTGCATCAAAGCAGCTTCACAGTGATAACATGAAAGTAGTACAACACAGTTCAATAATATTGTTGAATATTAAATATCCCCAACTAAGCAAGCCAAAAGCAAGGCGACAGTGGCAAGGAACCAAAACTCCATCAGATTGGATGGAGAAAAAAACCTTGGGAGAACCCAGGCTAGTCAGGGGCCAGTTCTCCTCTGGCTAACAATCATAGGGTTTTAAAGAAGCTTTACAGTAAGTCCATATCAGAGAGTACCTGGAAAAAATACATTTAGTTAATCATGTAATATTTAGGGGATAACATATCGCCGGCGTTGAGTCGTCTCTTCGCAGGCGTTGAGTCGTCTCTTCACAGGCGTTGGTCTTCTCATCACAGGCGTTGAGGCATCCGAAATCCCCGTGAGAGGCAGGATACCAAACTGGAGCCTACGAACGCCATTTTTCTCGGGACAAGCGTCCCGAGATAACAGCAGAAAGGCAGATGGGAAATAATTAGCATAGCTGATGTTCATAATGATTTCCATTACACGGGAGTAGGTGTTAGAAAACCATAATCTCACAACTCTCCGTAACCCAACAATTAGTACTTTATCTGCAGCCAATACTAAATCTGATAGAAAGTCCGCAAATTCTTTGATAAAATCTTTATGGTGCCCTGGTGGCCTGTACACAGTAGCCAGCAGAATTCTCAAATGTGATTTATCGTTTACACTATATATTTTTACATTAAGCACCAATACTTCAAAAGAAGTATATTTAAAGCTACATTTCTTAGTGGTTTTGAAAATATTACTATAAATTACAGCAACACCTCCCCCTTTGCCTTTCAGACGAGGTTCATTTTTATAACTGTAATCTTGTGGGGTTGACTCATTTAAAATAATGTAATCGTTTGGTTTTAGCCAGGTTTCTGTCAAACACAGCATATCAAGATTATAATCTGATGTGTGTGGGTCACCCTGCTGATGTGTGTGGGTCACCCTGCTGATGTGTGTGGGTCACCCTGCTGATGTGTGTGGGTCACCCTGCTGATGTGTGGGTCACCCTGCTGATGTGTGGGGGTCACCCTGCTGATGTGTGGGTCACCCTGCTGATGTGTGTGGGTCACCCTGCTGATGTGTGTGGGTCACCCTGCTGATGTGTGGGTCACCCTGCTGATGTGTGGGGGTCACCCTGCTGATGTGTGGGGGTCACCCTGCTGATGTGTGGGTCACCCTGCTGATGTGTGGGTCACCCTGCTGATGTGTGGGGGTCACCCTGCTGATGTGTGGGGGTCACCCTGCTGATGTGTGGGTCACCCTGCTGATGTGTGGGTCACCCTGCTGATGTGTGGGTCACCCTGCTGATGTGGGGGTCACCCTGCTGATGTGCGTGGATCACCCTGCTGATGGGCGTGGGTCACCCTGCTGATGTGTGGGTCACCCTGCTGATGTGTGGGTCACCCTGCTGATGTGTGTGGGTCACCCTCCTGATGTGTGGGGGTCACCCTGCTGATGTGTGGGGGTCACCCTGCTGATGTGTGGGGGTCACCCTGCTGATGTGCGTTGGTCACCCTGCTGATGTGTGGGTCACCCTGCTGATGTGTGGGTCACCCTGCTGATGTGTGTGGGTCACCCTGCTGATGTGCGTGGGTCACCCTGCTGATGTGCGTTGGTCACCCTGCTGATGTGTGGGTCACCCTGCTGATGTGTGGGTCACCCTGCTAATGTGTGTGGGTCACCCTGCTGATGTGTGGGTCACCCTGCTGATGTGTGGGTCACCCTGCTGATGTGTGGGGGTCACCCTGCTGATGTGTGTGGGTCACCCTGCTGATGTGCGTTGGTCACCCTGCTGATGTGTGGGTCACCCTGCTGATGTGTGGGTCACCCTGCTAATGTGTGTGGGTCACCCTGCTGATGTGTGGGTCACCCTGCTGATGTGTGGGTCACCCTGCTGATGTGTGTGGGTCACCCTGCTGATGTGTGGGTCACCCTGCTGATGTGTGTGGGTCACCCTGCTGATGTGTGTGGGTCACCCTGCTGATGTGTGTGGGTCACCCTGCTGATGTGTGTGGGTCACCCTGCTGATGTGTGGGTCACCCTGCTGATGTGTGTGGGTCACCCTGCTGATGTGTGGGTCACCCTGCTGATGTGCGTTGGTCACCCTGCTGATGTGCGTGGGTCACCCTGCTGATGTGTGTGGGTCACCCTGCTGATGTGTGGGTCACCCTGCTGATGTGTGTGGGTCACCCTGCTGATGTGTGTGGGTCACCCTGCTGATGTGCGTTGGTCACCCTGCTGATGTGCGTGGGTCACCCTGCTGATGTGTGTGGGTCACCCTGCTGATGTGTGGGTCACCCTGCTGATGTGTGTGGGTCACCCTGCTGATGTGTGGGGGTCACCCTGCTGATGTGTGGGGGTCACCCTGCTGATGTGTGGGTCACCCTGCTGATGTGTGTGGGTCACCCTGCTGATGTGTGGGTCACCCTGCTGATGTGTGTGGGTCACCCTGCTGATGTGTGGGGGTCACCCTGCTGATGTGTGTGGGTCACCCTGCTGACGTGTGGGTCACCCTGCTGATGTGTGTGGGTCACCCTGCTGATGTGTGTGGGTCACCCTGCTGATGGGCGTGGGTCACCCTGCTGATGTGCGTGGGTCACCCTGCTGATGTGCGTGGGTCACCCTGCTGATGTGTGGGTCACCCTGCTGATGGGCGTGGGTCACCCTGCTGATGTGTGGGTCACCCTGCTGATGTGCGTGGGTCACCCTGCTGATGTGTGGGGGTCACCCTGCTGATGTGTGTGGGTCACCCTGCTGATGTGTGGGTCACCCTGCTGATGTGTGGGTCACCCTGCTGATGTGTGGGGGTCACCCTGCTGATGTGTGGGTCACCCTGCTGATGTGTGGGTCACCCTGCTGATGTGTGGGTCACCCTGCTGATGTGGGGGTCACCCTGCTGATGTGCGTGGGTCACCCTGCTGATGTGTGGGGGTCACCCTGCTGATGTGTGGGGGTCACCCTGCTGATGTGTGGGTCACCCTGCTGATGTGTGGGTCACCCTGCTAATGTGTGTGGGTCACCCTGCTGATGTGTGGGTCACCCTGCTGATGTGTGTGGGTCACCCTGCTGATGTGTGGGTCACCCTGCTGATGTGTGTGGGTCACCCTGCTGATGTGTGTGGGTCACCCTGCTGATGTGTGTGGGTCACCCTGCTGATGTGTGTGGGTCACCCTGCTGATGTGTGGGGGTCACCCTGCTGATGTGTGTGGGTCACCCTGCTGATGTGTGTGGGTCACCCTGCTGATGTGTGGGTCACCCTGCTGATGTGTGTGGGTCACCCTGCTGATGTGTGGGTCACCCTGCTGATGTGTGTGGGTCACCCTGCTGATGTGTGGGTCACCCTGCTGATGTGCGTTGGTCACCCTGCTGATGTGCGTGGGTCACCCTGCTGATGTGTGTGGGTCACCCTGCTGATGTGTGGGTCACCCTGCTGATGTGTGTGGGTCACCCTGCTGATGTGTGTGGGTCACCCTGCTGATGTGCGTTGGTCACCCTGCTGATGTGCGTGGGTCACCCTGCTGATGTGTGTGGGTCACCCTGCTGATGTGTGGGTCACCCTGCTGATGTGTGTGGGTCACCCTGCTGATGTGTGGGGGTCACCCTGCTGATGTGTGGGGGTCACCCTGCTGATGTGTGGGGGTCACCCTGCTGATGTGTGGGTCACCCTGCTGATGTGTGTGGGTCACCCTGCTGATGTGTGGGTCACCCTGCTGATGTGTGTGGGTCACCCTGCTGATGTGTGGGTCACCCTGCTGATGTGTGGGTCACCCTGCTGATGTGTGGGGGTCACCCTGCTGATGTGTGTGGGTCACCCTGCTGATGTGTGGGTCACCCTGCTGATGTGTGTGGGTCACCCTGCTGATGTGTGGGTCACCCTGCTGATGTGTGGGTCACCCTGCTGATGTGTGTGGGTCACCCTGCTGATGTGTGGGTCACCCTGCTGATGTGTGTGGGTCACCCTGCTGATGTGTGGGTCACCCTGCTGATGTGTGGGTCACCCTGCTGATGTGTGGGTCACCCTGCTGATGTGTGGGTCACCCTGCTGATGTGTGTGGGTCACCCTGCTGATGTGTGGGTCACCCTGCTGATGTGAGTGGGTCACCCTGCTGATGTGTGTGGGTCACCCTGCTGATGTGTGGGTCACCCTGCTGATGTGTGGGGGTCACCCTGCTGATGTGTGGGTCACCCTGCTGATGTGTGGGGGTCACCCTGCTGATGTGTGTGGGTCACCCTGCTGATGTGTGGGTCACCCTGCTGATGTGTGTGGGTCACCCTGCTGATGTGTGTGGGTCACCCTGCTGATGTGTGGGTCACCCTGCTGATGTGTGGGGGTCACCCTGCTGATGTGTGGGTCACCCTGCTGATGTGTGGGGGTCACCCTGCTGATGTGTGTGGGTCACCCTGCTGATGTGTGTGGGTCACCCTGCTGATGTGTGGGTCACCCTGCTGATGTGTGTGGGTCACCCTGCTGATGTGTGTGGGTCACCCTGCTGATGTGTGTGGGTCACCCTGCTGATGTGTGGGTCACCCTGCTGATGTGTGGGGGTCACCCTGCTGATGTGTGGGTCACCCTGCTGATGTGTGGGGGTCACCCTGCTGATGTGTGTGGGTCACCCTGCTGATGTGTGTGGGTCACCCTGCTGATGTGTGGGTCACCCTGCTGATGTGTGGGGGTCACCCTGCTGATGTGTGGGTCACCCTGCTGATGTGATTTCACATAATACACGTAAACTCTCAAGCCACCTTCTGCATTTATCAGTTGTTTTAAACCGAATAAATGAGCCTGTTAAAAAAGTTTGGTGTTTCATGCTGATGCTTTCCTGCATGGTTTTCTTTTTCCTTTATAACCTGCTGGATGGTCTTGGTGTGCACCATTATTACCTTAAAAGGGGAACTGTCATGCACCTTTTTACAAAATGTAATACAAGTCTCAGGTGTCCCCAGAATGTGTCTGTGAAGTTTCAGCTCTAAATACCCCACAGATAATTATATTATTCCATGTTGTAAATGTCCATTCTGCAAGAAAGCATGCTGTGTTTGTGCGTGTATCTTTAAATGCAAATGAGCTGAAGAAGGCGGAGCTTGCACAGATCGCGCCTCCTCTGATACTCATCTGTTTGGTTTTGATTGTCTATCGAGGACATTGCAGTTCTTCATCATCATGAAAGTTTATGATCTGCATGCGTTTTAAAGCCATATCAGTGTAAACTTCTGATCTATGGTTTTCTGAGCGCACTGCACAGCTGTGAGTATTAAACTAAGTTCTCTTTCACGTCTTATTGCGCTTAAACTGTTAAATACACACAAAGTTCACATTAACACCCGTCGGTCATGGCTATGAATGTAAACAACAAGTATAGAAATATTAGATCTGTTTATTAAAGTGAAAACAGTGAATATACAGACTGCTAAATATGCTAATATGGATCAAACAACAAAAGAAAAACTGAAAATCACTCACTGCTCTTGATTGAATAACTTGGTAGTTTTAATAAGAATACATTTCTTACTTGAATGCTGTTGTTAAATGCTCTGGCGTTAAAAACGGCTCTGAGACACTGCTTATGATTTGGGGATTAAAAAGGAGTGTGTGGGTTTTTACTATTATAGGGTGGTTGTTTACACACACTGCCGACACAATTCTGATCAAACACCGTGTAAAAGTTAATTTTGCATAATAGGTTCCCTTTAACATGAGGGAAAAGCTTTGTAAAACTTAAAGCCCGTTGATGGGTTATAAACATGAACTTTAGAACAGCTTTAAATGTGAGGTAATTTTGTATCTCCGATTTCATTTCTGTCTGCAATTTTACCACAAAGCGATTTTCTCAAGCGTAGTTTCTCTGGTCACCCATAGGCTGTTGGTCAGGAATGAAATCTGCACGCATCAACGTGACCCTCGTGACAACATTATCAGACGAATTTACAGGAATATTTACATTTTTGCTGATAATTCGGGAACTGTGATGCTAGACGAAGTGTCAAGTTAATTCTCAACTACATGAAGTTCTACCTCACGGGTCAGCTCTGCAGCTGGGGGTCAAGGGTCATCAGTTAGAGAAGGGTCAAGAACAACAGCAGAAATGTACAGAGTCACATGATGGCTTTCATACAAATGTAAATGCTGATACAACATACTTTAAACATTCAAATTTCAATAAATGGTCAGTCTTCTAGAAACTAACTTTACACCCATGACAGGGAAAGAACTGTTAAAATGAGGGAAGAGTTTACTGTAATGTTATTTACCGTGAGATGAGCTTTCTGAAGTATGGTATTCACATTAAGAAGGCTTTTTTTATAAAGATATTAAAGGATGTTTCAGGCATTTATTAAATTATGACCATTAAATATTTTTGATTCAGAAATGTCTACATTTTGATATTTTACAGAGACGAAATAAAAAAAAAACATTTTTTTTCTGAAATATTTTTTTAATAGTTAATACAATAGTACATACAAGATGGTGAAACATTATATAATCAGTAATAAATACAAATCTGGTTAAATAGAAATCTACACCGCACCCATAGGGTACAACTTCTGTAGATATAAATAACATCATAATAATACTAACTACAAAAAATAAATATATCAAAGTCATATAAAAATATATCCAGTCAAAACAATAGGGTTATTCCAAAGTTGAATTTAACTTTGCCAAGAAAACCCATTATAACTTTTGTATTACAAAAATACAGTAGAAAATACCAAGTTTATCCAGTTGGGCATTGAGTTGTTGGCCTGGTTCGGTCACTGCGGGTCAGCTATCGGACATTGAGTTGTTGGCCTGGTTCGGTCACTGCGGGTCAGCTATCGGACATTGAGTTGTTGGCCTGGTTCGGTCACTGCGGGTCAGCTATCGGACATTGAGTTGTTGGCCTGGTTCGGTCACTGCGGGTCAGCTAATGTGACATTGAGTTGTTGGCCTGGTTCGGTCACTGCGGGTCAGCTATCGGACATTGAGTTGTTGGCCTGGTTCGGTCACTGCGGGTCAGCGATAGACGCAGAGATGTGGCGAAGAGTCCGAAACACGTCCTGGGTGAAGCTGCGCAGCTGCTGGAGGGTAAGATGAGCCGCCACTTGGACCTGGTAATCACTGCGGAGCTGCAGGGCAAGCCCTGGAAACCCGTCCTGGGATTCTGGACTGGGAATCTGGGCCAGCCGTTGCACCTGAGCCAGAAGAGAGAGCATTAATCATCAAAGATCAGCTCGTTTTAGAAAGAAAGGCTGAGTGTTGCTCAGTGAAATGTAACGTGTGCTAGTGATGCGCGGGCCGACTCGTAACCCGCGGTAAAGAAATTGTCACTTTATTTGCGGGGCGGGTCATTATTATTGTTTTTTTTAATCCATGTATGTTGCTTGCAATTTCCAGCCTATTAAATATTTGGGAATATCTATTTTCGTATTTTATTAGGTTATTTGATAAGGTTACAATACGAATGCCGTAGCAACTTAACTTGCGTGAGCTCCATAAACCTTTGGCGTCACGTGACACGTCACGAAAGCGGCGCGCCGAGCAGCTTCTGCCGCCAGCCACGACAACAACAACAACGGAGAAATAAAAGTGAAGATGGAAGACGAGGTGCGGGAGAAATTGAGGTCGGGAATTTACCTGATTAAATTGAAAAGAAAAATAAGGTTAGGCTGCTAAATCTAATGTTTGGGAGCTGTTCTCAGAAATAGTTGCAGCAGGAGACAACAGTAGCTAGATCGGCTACCTGAAGTGCAACTCGTGTGAAAAATATACAAACAGTAGCGCCAAAAAAACGGGCACTTCCAGCATGTCAAGACATATTTGTGGGGGGTCTAAGAAATAAAAAATGGTTTAGCCTATTAGATGAATACAAACGCTGCTTTGTAAATGTTGAAAATGTTTATTAGTATCTTATTAATATGACCTGATTTATGATTCATATTCATAATCGTCTCTTGTTGCCAGTTTACAGGGCGATGTTTCCAAGCACTTTCAGGCTGAAATAAAGGCTGTTTTCATTTACATTACAATGCCTAGTAGTATGTCTATTAAATGGTGGCGGTGGCGGGGGCGGGGGCGGGGGCGGGTTGTAAAAATAGATACAGTGGTGCGGTGCGGGCTGGTGCGGGCTGGTGCGGGCCAAACAATTTCATAAAAGCGGGACCCGCGGGTTGGAAAAAAAGCCGACCCGCGCATCACTAGTGTGCAATACTGTAGGGTTTCCAAGGAAATGGGAAAGACTGGTGAATTTTTAGTTCATGAAATTTTCTTCATGTCACTTTAGGCTCTACGTTTTGTTTTTTGTTTTTTTCATTCAAACATACACTGAACAAAATGATAAAACGCAACACTTTTGTTTTTGCCCCCATTTTTCATGAGCTGAACTCAAAGATCTAAGACCTTTTCTATGTACACAAAAGGCCTATTTCTCTCAAATATTGTTCACAAATCTGTCTAAATCTGTGTTAGTGAGCACTTCTCCTGTGCCGAGATCCTCCATCCCCCTCACAGGTGTGGCGTATCAAGATGCGGATTACACAGCAGGATTACTGCACAGGTGTGCCTTAGGCTGGCCACAATAAAAGGCCACTCTAAAATGTCTTACATAGAAAAAGTCTTAGATCTTTGAACAAAATTATAAACGCAACACTTTGTTTTGGTCAGTGTAATATGATAGGCAGCATTATTTAATTTTATAATCATTTTAATTACTCTAAAATGGTATGTATTCAGCCACATATAATAATAATTTTATCTTATTTATATATCTTAAAACATAGTTTAAAAAAGTCGGCATGAAACAGAAGTCGCGCCAGTAAACGTCTTCGGAGAAGAGATGTTGGGAATATATTTTGATTCAAGATTACGACGCATGTGAATTTAAACGATGATACATCCTTTAGAATAAACAGCAATATTCCATTAAAACCAGAACTGATGTGATGGCGTTGGAGAGGCAGAGGCGTGAGGATTACCTCTTCCACCTGATCACGCAGATCTCTGACGCCGGCGAGCAAAGGCTTCAGCTCTTCTGAGGAGCTCAACGCCACTCCCACCTCCTCCAGAAGTCTGCGGTGAAGCTCCAGGCCGTTTACAATACGGCTTAAACTCGTTTCCTGGTCAGAACAAACAGTCAAGAACTGTTAAACACCTCTTTGAAAATGTTTAACATGAAAGTTTCATCCATTTAAAACATCTAAATAGGACTGATGCCAGTGTTTAAACTCGACTACTATCAACATTTGCAGGTTTGGTTCAGAATTAGATCCATAAATTAGAAGAGCTGCTGTCCTGCTTCAACACAGTTATGCTTCATCTATGTCAAATATCAAAATGCTCTACTGGCTCTAAAATCATCAATAGCAGCATGCATCTCAATAGAATTCCTAAACACTATTGTATGCTTCTTCCAGTTCTATATTTAACATGCTTACACACACTTTACCATGCTGGAGAGTATTTACCATAGTGAGCTCCTCTGACTTGAGCACTGGCGGCGCAGGAATGCCAATGTCACTTAATAAATACTCCAAGCTTTTTGCTTCACTGGAAAGAGTCAAACCCTGCAAACAAACAAATACAATTTCCATTATTATATAGAATATAACGCCAATAATTAACTCCTCTATTCTCTATCACTGTTGTCAACTAAAATGCATTAAAATATGATACATTTGACAAGAATGTATTATTAACTTGTGCTGATCTAAAGTTTGTCCATGAAATGTAACATCTGAGCTAATTTGATAGTGCATTAATGTGTCCAGTAAAGCTGAGCCTGCTCACCGCTGATGTGACGCACGCGTCGTGCGCTCCGCGAATGTCGCTCAGGATCTTCTTCGCTAAACTCATGGCGTTCTCCACCGCGCGCGTCAGCTCGTGCCCGCGGAGCGGCGCGTTATAGACCAGCGTCAAACAGCAGTGCGCGACGAGAACTGCGGAAAACAGTGTTAAATACATCAGAACATCAGAAATCTACACCACAAACACTGACGGACGACGCTCACACACACACACGAGCAGTGAGTGCACAGCGAACACAGCTGACAAAGTTGTAATGTATATATGTTTTATCTTTATTCGTAATGTGTTAAAGTACATTTTCTAAAAATGGTTAAGATCTACTTACTGAGGTAGAACTTCATTGTGGTTCGAAGTGTATCTAATATGTTGCAGTGATTCTAGTCTATTTAAACCCATTGGGATTGTTCAACCAGGGAAACTTCCATGAGTTTTACGTGTATTGCGTGTGCACTGCCGTATGAGATGCGTTGCGAAAAAACATAAAAGAAAAAGGCATTTCTAATGTTTCCGGTTGTTGGGATAGGGGGATATGACACTCATTACACTCATTTAACATGACACAAATGCACTGAATATCAGTCAAACGCTCAGCTCTCGGGAATTCTGCAGTTTCGTCACTGCAGGAAGAACAACACAAAAAACCAAACCACTCCTTTATCAGCGTCACTGAGTGTTTAATAGTTGCTCAATGCGTTATTTCCCATTCGGTGTTTCCTGCACACTTAAACAATATATACATCCTTCGTGGGAATAGAATAGATCAGAAATATAATGTCTTCAACATTGCGATGGGTGAAAAAAGACTCGCTTCTTTGATTGCTTTTTTCTTCGTCTCTGATCATTTCTGATCATCTTTTATCTCTGCCAGTTCAGCAAGAAGGCTCATGAGACCTTAAGAATAATCGCTCAAGAACTAAATGAATGAATTACACAACAAATGAATTATATTAGTCAACACACTTTTAATTATAAAACACAATTGCATTATTAATTATGATTAGGCTAATTGTGCCTGTTTATTCCCAGTAGCCTAGAATACATTTTCCTCGAACGATCAAGATAGGCTATATTTCTCCTAAAAGCGTCAAAACAATTACAAAAAACACAAACCTTTGATAACATATGAATATAAAGCATATGTTCTCCATTCCTCCGTTCTACTCTAAATAATGGAGAAATCTGCGGTTCTGATTCAGCTGCTTTCGTCATTGATTCACCGAATAAATAATAGTTAATAAGAACCGAGCTGTCAGATGAGATCAGGTTTTACTAGCAGTGTGTGCGTGTGTGTGTGTGTGTGTGTGTGTGTGTGTGTGTGTGTGTGTGTGTGTGTCCAACTAGCTGAACCTCTTCAGTTCTGTTCATTGGAGTTAGGGTTCCTTCACTGTCGCTTTTGTCTTGCTCAGTCGAGGACATTTAATATTCATCAATATTATTGATCTCCTGCATTGACTCCATTATATGAGAACTGAACTGAGCTGGACGATGACATCATGGTTTTCTCCAGAGCGACTATATATATATATATATATATATATATATATATATATATATATATAATATATAAATTAACTAAATTAATAACTTCACTGATAAAATCACTGAACTTACTTAAGCTGGACTGTGACGCTATTTTCTTCTGGAAACAAACTTTGTTGCATTATTTTCCTGTTATACGATCTGCTAGTCTCAGCCTCAGACGTCACGCCCACGGAACGCTGGCTAAACGTCTGATGCATATGGTACACTTAACTGGAAACACTTCAGGAATGTCGAAGTCGTCATCTGATTGGTTGAATTTTATCGGATTTCCGGCGCGCGAGTGTCGCGTTTATTTTCGGTCCGCCGGGAAACAAAGCGCAGACGTGTGATTGCGGAAGAAAAACTGTTGTGTTTACATGAGTGACAATGAGCATTTATCAAGATCAGCTAAACGTAGGATTCTCAAAAGTATGCGAGGTTCACGGCATAGACTCTTTAAGAGATGTCCAGGAGTTTTGTTTGAGGCACTTAGTGGAGACAAAAAGAGATATTTTAGCCTGTTTGCCGACGGGATTTGGGAAGAGTATTATTTTCCAAGCCTGGCCGACCCTTTGTCAGCATTTAGAAGGATTCCCAGCAGATTCAATTTTACTAGTTGTGTGTCCCCTCCTATCTATTATGGAAGATCAAGTGAAGTACCTAACCGCGAAGGGGAAATCAGCCGCGTTTGCGGGCAAACATGAAACAACAGACGCTGACATCGCAGCTGGCCGATTCAGTATTGTGTTCGGTTCTCCAGAATTGCTTGTGGGTGTTAAAAAGTGGAGAGATATGCTTCAACAGATGTTTACCGCGAGCGTCTCATCGGTATGGCTGTTGATGAAGTGCACGCCATTGTTGTTATACGTGCACGAACAGATCAATGACTTACTGCTTGTTTTCTTCTCCTTCTTTGATTTTCTATGCTGACTGACTTGTTGCACGCCGGTCTGTTGTTGTGGGGACATTTCCACGCCCCGAAACGTGACACTGAACGAAACGAACTGTAATTGGTTGTTTGACATGTCGGTCAAACGGCCTTATGGGCGGGCCTTGGCCAAAGAAAGCTGCTATGAATTCCAGACCTTCAGCCATCAGTCTGAAGGTCTGGCTACGCGAGACTAACGAGCTGCAGAGTTCTGGAGGGATTAGGTGGAGGTGTTTACTTGTGGAGGCGATGGAGGAGTTTATCTGCGGAGGCGATGGAGGAGTTTACTTGCGGAGGCGATGGAGGAGTTTACTTGTGGAGGCGATGGAGGAGTTTATCTGCGGAGGCGATGAAGGAGTTTACTTGCGGAGGCGATGGAGGAGTTTACTTGTGAAGGCGATGGAGGAGTTTACTTGTGGAGGCGAAGGAGGTGTTTACTTGTGGAGGCGATGGAGGAGTTTATCTGCGGAGGCGATGGAGGAGTTTACTTGTGGAGGCGATGGAGGAGTTTATCTGCGGAGGCAATGGAGGAGTTTACTTGCGGAGGCGATGGAGGAGTTTACTTGTGGAGGCGATGGAGGAGTTTATCTGCGGAGGCGATGGAGGAGTTTACTTGCGGAGGCGATGGAGGAGTTTACTTGTGGAGGCGATAGAGGAGTTTACTTGTGGAGGCGATGGAGGAGTTTACTTGTGGAGGCGATGGAGGAGTTTATCTGCGGAGGCGATGGAGGAGTTTACTTGCGGAGGCGATGGAGGAGTTTACTTGTGGAGGCGATGGAGGAGTTTATCTGCGGAGGCGATGGAGGAGTTTACTTGCGGAGGCGATGGAGGAGTTTACTTGTGGAGGCGATGGAGGAGTTTACTTGTGGAGGCGATGGAGGTGTTTACTTGTGGAGGCGATGGAGGAGTTTATCTGCGGAGGCGATGGAGGAGTTTACTTGCGGAGGCGATGGGGTGTTTACTTGCGGAGGCGATGGAGGAGTTTATCTGCGGAGGCGATGGAGGAGTTTGCTTGCGGAGGCGATGGAGGAGTTTACTTGTGGAGGCGATGGAGGAGTTTACTTGTGGAGGCGATGGAGGTGTTTACTTGCGGAGGCGATGGAGGAGTTTACTTGCGGAGGCGATGGAGGAGTTTACTTGTGGAGGCGATGGAGGAGTTTACTTGTGGAGGCGATGGAGGTGTTTACTTGTGGAGGCGATGGAGGAGTTTATCTGCGGAGGCGATGGAGGAGTTTACTTGCGGAGGCGATGGGGTGTTTACTTGCGGAGGCGATGGAGGAGTTTATCTGCGGAGGCGATGGAGGAGTTTGCTTGCGGAGGCGATGGAGGAGTTTGCTTGCGGAGGCGATGGAGGAGTTTACTTGTGGAGGCGATGGAGGAGTTTACTTGTGGAGGCGATGGAGGTGTTTACTTGCGGAGGCGATGGAGGAGTTTACTTGCGGAGCCGATGGAGGAGTTTACTTGCGGAGGCGATGGAGGAGTTTACTTGTGGAGGTGATGGAGGTGTTTACTTGTGGAGGCGATGGAGGAGTTTACTTGTGGAGGCGATGGAGGAGTTTACTTGTGGAGGCGATGGAGGAGTTTACTTGTGGAGGCGATGGAGGAGTTTACTTGTGGAGGCGATGGAGGAGTTTACTTGTGGAGGCGATGGAGGAGTTTACTTGTGGAGGCGATGGAGGAGTTTACTTGTGGAGGCGATGGAGGAGTTTACTTGTGGAGGCGATGGAGGAGTTTACTTGCGGAGGCGATGGAGGAGTTTACTTGTGGAGGCGATGGAGGAGTTTACTTGTGGAGGCGATGGAGGAGTTTATCTGCGGAGGCGATGGAGGAGTTTACTTGCGGAGGCGATGGAGGAGTTTACTTGTGGAGGCGATGGAGGAGTTTACTTGTGGAGGCGATGGAGGTGTTTACTTGTGGAGGCGATGGAGGAGTTTACTTGCGGAGCCGATGGAGGAGTTTACTTGCGGAGGCGATGGAGGACTTTACTTGTGGAGGTGATGGAGGTGTTTACTTGTGGAGGCGATGGAGGAGTTTACTTGTGGAGGCGATGGAGGAGTTTACTTGTGGAGGCGATGGAGGAGTTTACTTGTGGAGGCGATGGAGGAGTTTACTTGTGGAGGCGATGGAGGAGTTTACTTGTGGAGGCGATGGAGGAGTTTACTTGTGGAGGCGATGGAGGAGTTTACTTGTGGAGGCGATGGAGGAGTTTACTTGCGGAGGCGATGGAGGAGTTTACTTGCGGAGGCGATGGAGGAGTTTACTTGCGGAGGCGATGGAGGAGTTTACTTGTGGAGGCGATGGAGGAGTTTACTTGCGGAGGCGATGGAGGAGTTTACTTGCGGAGGCGATGGAGGAGTTTACTTGTGGAGGCGATGGAGGAGTTTACTTGTGGCGGTGATGGAGGAGTTTACTTGTGGAGGTGATGGAGGAGTTTACTTGTGGAGGTGATGGAGGAGTTTACTTGTGGAGGCGTTTACTTGTGGAGGCGATGGAGGTGTTTACTTGTGGAGGCGTTTACTTGTGGAGGCGATGGAGGAGTTTACTTGTGGAGGTGATGGAGGTGTTTACTTGTGGAGGCGATGGAGGAGTTTACTTGTGGAGGTGATGGAGGTGTTTACTTGTGGAGGCGATGGAGGAGTTTACTTGTGGAGGTGATGGAGGTGTTTACTTGTGGAGGCGATGGAGGAGTTTACTTGTGGAGGCGATGGAGGAGTTTACTTGTGGAGGCGATGGAGGAGTTTAC